TTTCCTCAGCTTCAACCAGAAACTTGCATATAAGTAATTAATGGTGTGTTTGGCAGCCTGCTCTTTTTTTCCTGATTCAGGATATTGATCTTCTCCATTGTTGCTATCCATAGATGTAGTTGATTTGATTCCTGTATATTCCATCTAGTGAGCTCTAAGTGGGTAGCTGCCGTTGATGTTGTTGAAAAAGATATTTGCAATAAATACATCATTGGTGTTGCAAAATTCTTTCACCTATTCTCCAGGTTCATTTCTATCACCACCAGCATCTTTTCCAACTATCATTCCTTTTGTTTTCAACTTTGCATTCCAATCACCAGTAATTATCATTGCATATTGATTGCCTGTTTAATTAAATTATGGCTGCAGAAGCTGTAGAATCCTTCCATTTCTTCATTATTGGCTTTAATGGTTGATGTGTAAATTTGAATAGTGGTGGCATTAACTGGTTCTTTCTTGTTAGGTGTATGAGTATTATCTTATTGTAGACAGCCTGATTTTTCAAGCTGGATCTTGTCATGTTCATTTTGATGATGAATGACATGCCATTGCTCTTCAGCGTAGTGGATGCTATGCGTGCCTTATTCAAAATGGCCAATAGCAGTCCATGTCAGTTCACTACTAAGATATTTTTGTGCTCTCTTTAATTTGTGATGACTTCCTGTGTTTCTAGATTCATACTTCCTACAGTCCATGTTCTGATTTTAATGGATATTTGCAGCTGTTTGTTCTCATTTTGAGTCATGCCACACTTGAAAAGGAAGGTCCTGAAATCTTTGCTCCATCTGCGTTATTAAGGTTGACCACTTTGCGCAGGCAACTCTACCAGACAGATTTTGAGGGGCTTCCATCCGAAGGGACTCATTCTCTGGCTCTGTAACAGAGAGTGTTCCATTGTTGTTCATAAGGTTTTCAGAGGCTAATTTTTCAGATGTGGTCTGTTCCCTCTGCTTTCAGAAGTGTGTACATCTAGTTGGAAATATGTTGAGAAATAACAACTTCAGGTTTGGGTATTGTTGAACAAGGAATTCTAAATTTTTTAACAATAATTTTTGACTTATCCTCATAGGTAATCCATTTCAAATTGTTAGTGTGTATGGATTTAGTTTCCTTTTACTGCATATAGATATTCAATTTTCCCAATACCATTCATTGACAATACTAACGCCCG